TCAAGTATGGCGCTTTCAGGAGTCAACAGAAGAGGGTCGGCCTTTTCCTTTTTCCTTTTTTTTTTTTTTTTTCTTCTCTCTCGTCTCCCTGTTTAGATTCCATTCCTATTTTACTTCAGTCATATTATCCACCACTCTGTTTTTGTCACAAAAAGGAAAGCAGACTAAATTTACCACCATTGCTGCCTATTTGGATGGGTTACTATTGCTTCAGGACGCTGGAGTCTTTCCGAACAGCTTTATCCTTTTCTTCACCCCCGTGGTGGGAACGGAATGACTCGCGAGGGGGAACCACTTTGACGAGTCAGAGGCGCGGGAACTAGGGGAAAAGCGCAGCACCAGAGGCCGCCTTGACCTTCTCTTAGACTAGCATGAACAATCCTCAGGTTTGAGGGTAAAGGATAACGCTTTCCCTCTAGCCACCGCTGGTTACCAACCAGTGGTCATTGCACTTGACGCAATGAGGTGCACGATAGCAGAACCGTTGCCTGCCAAGCATATATCGTCCTGCATCTACGGAGGCCCAGACGGAGTCTGTGCTCCCCCATCCTATGACGAAGTAAAGCGACCGGCCGAGTGGCGTGGATTCTAGTGGTTCTTCGAGTCGGCTAGTTGTCAGACCGGAGGCTGGGCTGTATTATTTCCCCCGATGGACGGTTGACAGTCACACCGCAAACCAACAAGCTTGCGAGATACGACCCAGGATTAACGGGCTTGGTCTTGGTCTTGGTCCCCTACTTTCTTTTCTGGTTCTCTTTGTTCGACCCTGGTCTTGGTTCCCTCCATGAACCCTGCCAAGGGACTGCCATTCTGTGATGGACACGACCGATGCAATGTGATCAACATTGTCCACCCCACCCCCCATGTGGTGTAGTAACACAAGAAATATCATGCATACGGAGTAGTTGGTTAGTTAGAACGTTAGTGGGTTAGTCAGTGAACACCGGACAATCATCAGTTGGCGCTGAAATTGCATGGACGGGTGGAGTTCCCTAAGGTTAGTCGCCAACTTCTCTCTCTCTCACTCTCACTCCCGGGAGTGGGGAGGCCGAGGATTTTTCGGATGGCGGGCCATTCAACGGGCATATTGCATACATTATCCCCGCAGTTCCATCCCTTTTTCATTTGTTTAGAGATTGAACTGCAGCAACCCTTCCTCGCACCACAGTGAATGATTTAATTTCCGATGCCTGCTAAGGTACGCGGAGAGATACCATCGCGTACGGCCACTTTACCTTCTGACCCAGCCCACTCTCGGGCCGAATGTGCAGTCCTGCAGGGCCACGCTTAAAACATAGCCGGTCCACTCGCTACACTAAAGAGCTCAGGGGGGAATGGGATCCATGGTGGTCGTCATATCCTCTGTATACATTGCCTCACTATTGGCTAGGAGTCACACCTGAAGAAGCGCGACAGCTAGCCATTCCACAACCGCCGTGATAGTCGCCTCGCCCTGAAGATCCTGAGGTCCAATGAGAGAACTGCTGGCGCCATGGACGTGGATCACCGAAGTGGCAGGTATGCAAGCTCTTTTCCAAATCGCACCATACGGTCCGTCACGGCTCGGTGAACGAACCGTACCGAGGCCCTACGGAGATATCCTCATCATATATCCTACGAAGCATAACTTCCTTACTACTATCGCTCGGGCGGGTAGAACCGTAGAGGCGAATGGGTAGCACATGTCACTCATCCCATGGCCTGATACAATGGCGATCATGTTCACCCAAGGTTAGCAGAAATTTTTTTTTAAAAAATGTTTAACAGATTAAGAGCCGAAACGATGATTCACACAATCTAGTCTCACCATATCTTGAAAACTTTGCATGAGGCTTTCGATTTCCATTCCGGGATATGTACACGAAAGCTGAAGGCCTTATCACACTACGGAGGATCCCTCGGTCATACTATATTCTAAGAGTACTTGGTTCTTGTCCGTCGATTACACTAAGCACCTTGATACTCTTACGTGGCCTTGAACTATCACCGTTAGACCATGCAGATTTTCGAGGCACAACTACGCAACTCAGATGATTTCTACCGTGCGGACGCGTCCAGTTAATCAAAGTTGCCAAGAGATGTCGGGGCACAGTTTCCTCAGCTAACCCCTGTAAACTGTATGGTCTGGCCTACCATTCTACAGAGTATACGTATACTCTATAGAGATTTTCCAAAAGTACGAAACAAACAGGGCAAACCGCCACGCTGCGACCAAAAAGACCCTTTGGAAATCCCCACATTTATAGTAGGTCGGGGGGCACGTGCCCTCTCTATGCTAACATTCATCCACAATTAATTACATCCCAAGAATCCGGAACAAACGCACGGTATTAGACAAAGAAAAGGGGCAATGGGCCAATCAGCCGATCGAAGAAAGCTCAATGAGACTGATGACCTTCATTATCTACAAGGATCAGAGTGCTTTACCCTGAAGTACCATGCAGGCGAGGACTAGGATCCTGTCCAGTAACCAGCCTCAGCAAAGGTACAGCCTTGAGGAGCAATAAGCCCCTTGCTACGTTGGCTCGGCAGAGGAAGCGGTAACAACGACGCGACAATAAATTAGCTCTGCCGCTTCACTCTTCGCACTAACCATGAGTCTATATATTAAACTTCAGTATCCCTACTTGTGGGTAAATACGAACAACGAGTCAGTTCGAACTCCTTTTTTTTTCCTTACTGAGACAATTGAATATTTTCATGCCGATTCCGTTCCTCTAGTTCTTTTTCCGGTTTAGCTTTTGCTTATCCCTCGCTCACTGATTGATTTGTTGGGGCAGCGGTGCCGCCAAGATCAGACCGAGTCAGTGCCTGGCTAGTTACCAACTAGTGGGAAGCGGCCCTGGAGCTATGACCGTAGTCTAGTTGGTCAATGTACAGGCGGCACTTGCATAGTGGCCTGGGTATGGAAACCGCTCGTGGAGAGATATCGAGTGGGTTGTGGTTTATGCATGTACTTTCGATAGACCAGTGAGCCTTCTTCACGTTTCTGGCTATAGCAGGGCATGATTCGGTATCAACTACACAGTGAGCACTGATTTCTTTGTTAGTCTGGAAGTACTATCAATGAAAGGCCGTGCAGCACATTACTTGAGATCCTGGTACTAAATAGAAACAGCATCGTAATATCACCACAGCGCATTCATTCTTATTGCAGACCTATATATCATCTCGGCATCTGTATTCAGGGTGCTTTTCATAGCTCCACTCTCACTGATTTAGCCCAGAATCTTGGATCAACGTCACTGGGTTAGCTTAGGCCAAATGCTAGCTTGTGAGTGTACTGTCTGGCACTGAGTATACGTATTTGATGTATGCAACATCCCTAGTATAATTATGCTGGATGTCGAACATATATCAAATAGGTATAGCCTAATTAAGCTCGTCGGGCTATTCTAATCGAAATAGTAGAAGTCCTGCGTTTACTAGGTAGTAGAAGTTATCATAGAGGTACACTTGGTGTGATACTGGGATTGAATGCAGTGGAGATGGACATTGTACACTATGTACAGACTTAAAGCTTTGCATAGATAGTCAATAGATAGCTTCTATCTTGACCCCTGACGTGTCTGGAATATGCCTATCATTCTCTTTCATATACAATGGCCATTCCAACTACATGCATAGCACAAGTGTATCTCTTACCACTCAAACCAGATATACAACAAACACAAAAAGCACCAACACGCAAGCAAACCAAAAGCCCACCCAACCGGAAGAAAGAACCGGAAATCAATCTCCGTGTTTGCTCCCCCCCCCGCCACCGCCAGATTCTAAACCCTCCTAGCGGTTGATCCCGGCATCACAACATAAACACCGAGCATGGAGCATGGACTGATTCCGGCCCGATCCGTGTCTTATCGAGCCTGTTATTGTGTTGGCTGCTGACGGAGGGCCTGTATGAAGGGGGGTAGGCTCTGAAACATAGTGCTTATGGCTGGGTTGGACCCTGGATTTGTTGGTTTTGATGGGATTTATTATTAGGGGGATCGGGATTTGAGTGTGGAGGCTGCTTTTTTTTTTTTTTTTTTTTTTTTTTTTTTTGGTTTATTTTTTTTTTTATTTTTTGTTAGGGCTTGGGATGTCTTGGTGTTAGGTTCTACTAGGTATGTATGGTTTTGTTAGTGGGTGTTTGGTTCTTTATTAGTTGTATGTTTTATTGTATATTGTATATTTTACATTGTATTGGCTATTGGATAGACAAAAAGTACCTGTCTGGATACATCTAATATCTGCCTACCTACCTACCTACCTACCTATCTATCTACATACATGCATAATATAACACACACACAACATGGCCCACGAATCCAGATCCCCACACTGCAAAAACAGAGTGAAAAAGGAATAAATCCAACAAGACCAATACCCACCCCAAGTTGAACCCAGATCCAGACCCAGACCCAGACTCAGATCCAAAGTCAACAACGTAATCCTCATTTCGGACCAAAGGGCCCCCCCCTCTCTATAACAGAAGAGTTATAATAACACAGTGTGCTAAGTGACGGCCAGAGCCGACGTTAACCTTTCAAGCGTGGTAGTTGGTCAAGGAGTTAACTTGGCCCTGGTCAGGTGGTTTAGGTTGGGACTAAGCTTTTGGGTTTTTTTCTTTCTTGGGGGTTAACTAAAGTAGTAGTGGTTGTAGTGGTCCATGGTTTACTGGTATGGCCGGAGGTTGGAAGGCTTGGATGGTCTAGGTACTAGCATTGCTGGGTAGTGTAAGGGTATGGGGTGTGATTGTGAGTGTGATTGAATCTGTGGGGGACCTTGAGGATTGGGGGCTTTTTTCTTTTTTTTTTTTTTTTTTTTTTTTTGCTCTAAACTAGGGGTGCGTTGGTGGTCTGGATCTTTTGGCTTGGTGTTGTATACTGCTTAGTAGTTTGGGGGCGGTTGTGGAATGAGATAGATAATTTCATTGCAGATTCATGAACAAATAATAAATATATGTACTCATATACTCTTGTCTCGTAATAGAGAGAATCATACAGCAGGCCTCCCTTCATTCCTGCCATCCCGATTCGTCATCAAATACCGCATATAGAAAAAAAAAAGATAGAAACCGCCCGAGCCCTCACTTCTCCAAGTTAGGCTCACGAACCATGCAATAAAGCTGCCAAACACATTATCAGACATCCATCTCTCCAGATGCAAAGGAAAAACAGAAAGAAAACCTACCATGCAAACATCTTCCCCATCCCGACACTCCATCTCCTTCTTCATCCTAAACCCCATCTTCTCATAAATCTGCACGTTCGGCACGTTCCGCGAACTTTCCAAATAGCACTTCACTCCCTCCCGATCCGCCATATCGGTAACAGCCTCGAACAATTTCCTCCCAATCCCACCCCCCTGCGCCTTAGGACTGACAGCCACAATGTTGCAGAAATAGTACCCCCGCGGATCATCCCAGATCGCGCTCTGCGCCTCCTGCTGCCTCTCCTTCCAGATCCAGTACCGGTTAGTCCGGAGCCCGCCCCGGCCTAAATTCCAGATGTTGTTCAGCATCTGTCGCCAGCTCAGCACCCACCCCTGGCACCAGCTGTACCAGCTCTCCGGCTCGGAGGCGGCATGCGGCGGTAACCAGCAGGACACGCCGACCACGCGGTCGACGCCATTCGCATCAGTTTCCTTGGCGACGTGAAACAGGGCGTTGTTGATCCCCCAGAGACACCGCGCCGCGAGGGAATCATAGTTTCTTTGCTTGTTGAACTGTGAGTTTGGGACATGGCTTGTCCATCACGTCGGTCGGTGTTTCACCTCGACCGCGTTGATGGGCCGCTGTCCGTTAGCCTTTGTGTCTGCGGCGGGATTTCTTGCCTTGTGTTGGGATACGAGGGCTTGTGTTCTGGGATTCTCGGAATAGTGGTTTGCCTGTTGATCACAACTCACCTCGGAAGGATCGAAAACCCATTGGAAATATGGGTCTTCCGCGAATGCTTGTTGGATGACTTCGATCGCGTCGGGGATGTCTGCTTCTGTAAGGGGGACGACCTCGACAGGCATGGTGACGGTGACGATGGATGGGGGTTATCTTGAGTTATACTGGCGGATGTCAACCTTATGCAGATGAGCGTCGGGAAACTTCATATGGGCGAAGAGACTCACCGGGTAAGGGTTGATATGGTTGTTCCGAGGTACAGTATGTTCTATTTCCCCGCAGGACGTGGAGGCAGCAAGGAGGAAGCGATCTACGAACTGAAGTGAGTTGGTCGGTGGTCACTGGATCATAATGGATGAACTGAAAGTATCCGCTCGGCTTTATCCGAAAAGGAAGCTCTATGCGGGATTCTCCACTGGGCGGTAAAGGCTATACTGCTTAGATCTGAACGACGTCATTTCATTTCATATTCTTCTGACTACATCGGCCTTACCGTACAGTTCTCTTTCTGCACAGTATCCATGATATTCCCCCCCCCTCTTACATAGCGATGGCGAAAAATACTTGATCATGACCACCATCCATAGCGAACGTTAGGCACTCAAAGCAGACAAAGTTCATCACCTGCAGGTGTATGGAGGCCCGCATCAGCTCTTGAAAGTGGAGCCGATAGGGCCAACTTTAATGTTTGAATAGGCCACATAGGCGTTAGGGTTGGAGGCTTCAACCTCGCTAGGAACACCAGAGGACGTGGCGCAGGTTCCACGGGCCACGCCGGGCTTACTGGTGGACTCGTCGGTGGGGTAGTTGCTGTCAAGCCAGAGCATGTTGGCGTAGTAATCATCCCACAAGCTCATGACCAGCACCATTCCAGTCGACATGGCTTCGCCCATGCCGGCGAGCCCACCGTGTTTCGCGAAGCTACCCGAGCCGTCGAACAGGCTGTTTTCTGCGGTGCAGAACTCCGAGTTGATGGTGTTGCCGCTGAGACCACTGACGTCTGCGCTGGGCTGGGGGTATGTGACGCCGTCTTGCACGTAAAACCGTTTAATCTCAGTCAAGGTGCCGCTGGAGGTACCGTCATCGGTGATAAACTGCGTCACGACTGTCATCGGTTTGTTGGTGTCAATTGTCTTACCCGGACCATAGAAGGTGGTGTTGCCCACACGATATGGGTTAAAGTCGCAGCCGTCAGGATCACACGTCCCACCGTAGCGGTCGGAACTGTATGTGCCACCGCAGGCATCTCCAGTGCATAAAGTGTTGGTGGCCGTATCGCATGGGTGAGGAGTGAGAGCCTGCGAAATGCTGTTGGACTCCCATATGTCCAGCTCTGCGCAGCAGGAGCCATGGTTTCCAATGCCTGTATTGGCATTGTTGGTTGACGGTACCCAGCCTTCGACATTGGCTTGTCCCTGGATAAACTTGATATCCCGTGGGCATTGAGAGTCACAGTAACCAGTGCCGTACTTCGCGCCGGCTTTGTTGTTTGGATACTTGGAAACACCTCCATCGGCGTCCATTACGACGAAGTACAAAGCGCCATTAAGACCACATGGAAGCTTGGAGACGTCCACATCGAAGGTAAACTCTTGGTTCAGCAGTTTGTAAACCTCGTAATTGGTATCGTCGGCCATCATGTAGACACGAGAACCGACGTTGGAGTTGGTGACGAAATTGAGGCGGACCTCGCTGCCGCTGGTGGTGATACCGTAAGTATTGGAGTAGTCGGCACCATCTAGGGCACATTTCTGGGCACAAGCGTCATTGGTGCTGCAGTAGGAAGTGTCCCATTTATTACCAGTGTAGCAATTGCTAGAGCTTCCAGTTTGGTGGACCCAACGCCAGTTGGCATCGAGGACAATGGAGCCTTGCTTGGTGCTGCAACTGCCGCCGTCACTGCAGGTCTGCCAGGTCATGGAGGGATGGGTTTCGGTCTGGTAAGTCCCAATCTGCTGGCCTTGGGCAAGGGTCAGGACTGAAGATAAGATGAGGGCATTGCGGCAGATTCTAGAGAGAAGAAAGGAAGCCATCTTTGACTCTGCAAAGCTTTGCCGGTGCTTGGACTTCATGAATCATGTTGGAGAGCTCCAGGAAGGAGCCATCTTTATATAGATGTCCTCCCCGACTCAAACATCGCTGTGTTGTGCAGACTAGAGTGTTTGTCTACCGGATCGAAGGACCGCCGGTCCGTTAGAGGAACGACATCTGGAGGCGAGCAGTTCATATCTCCGTGATGAAAACAGAATAACCTCCATCTAAGCAAAGACAAGAGCGGGAATCAGTTCGCACTGAACCTAAACAGGTCCGTATTCCCCGTAACTAATACTTAGCGGCGAGCTTCACGTTGTGCAGAATCCGAACACTTTTACCCCGAAGTCTCTTGCTCCTCACCGTAATAGGAAAGGGTACGGGATCTCCGGACGGACTAGTCGTATGGGCTTTTCGCACTTCTGAGCCAGGCGTCTGTTAGACGATTGATCAGGTGATTCCGTAGTGCGTTGGGTAGGGAAATCGTGAAGAAACAACGGCCCTGTCTCATAGCCATCGAGATCCAAGACAGAAAACAAGACCTCGGGTTGTAACATCTTCTCTATACTGAATCAGATATCATCGTCTAAGCTATGGCTGTGCCTCCCCAGATAATTCTGTATGGTGACTGCTGATGAACCCCTCAATTAATTTAGCAAGAGGAAAACCGGGGAAATGTGTTGAGGGGTGCCATATCCAAGTGTGATGGTCCCCAGTCTGACATGCAGACCACGTGCTAGTATAGCCACCTGGGACTGCAACCTCGCAATCTCCACATTTTCACTCGGTTAAATTGATATCGAAACACGGTGGCGCTGGCTTGTGAGAATTGGGTTCATCAGCCATGGCCTGACAACCAACATGTATGTTCCAGACCGCGTGATCCTCTCACTATAGAAGGTCAGCGGAACAGTCCTTGATCTAGTCGGGTTCGTCTCTGTTAGCGTCGTCCTATCGTGCAGGTTAATATTGCTTAGCTACTGGCAATTATATCCCGATATCCTAGTCTGTAACGGCATATGTTCCGGAAACGTGTTCTCAGTCAATGGACTGTCACCTCGCAGGCTAAGGTTAGCTAGCGTGCGTCTTCGAATAAGATTTGCTACTTCCCCTTTACAGCCATCATGCCGAGGCTCAATCTCGGAGACGATGTCCCATACCATTTGTCTAGGCCTTCTTGTTCAAGAAGGAATGAAGAATGGGATGCGATGTTATAAATCATCAGCGCCAGTCTAGGAGGCGACTTCCCCGACATATCACTACCTTCATATATACCTGTTTATGGTGTTGATTCTCTGGTAAGAGAATTGCGATTGCATAACATTCGACTGGAAGCAAGGGAAAAGATCTATACATGTGTCGGAGATAGCAGAGGGATTCCAGATTGTATAGTCTTTGTAGATGCGCTGTTGGAAGCAATTCTAGTCGAGGTGCGTTCACATGAAGTACTTACAAGATCTGAATGATGAAACAGTGGTCTATATACTTTAGTAACATATAAATGTATGAAGCGAATTGTATCAATCGTTAGTACAAATATGTTTGTATGACATAGACATAATGACCTTGAGAGATGTATAACAGAGAAAAGAAAATCCAAGAAAATCAGGATCGCTCATGATGATGCCCTCCTAACCCAGCGCCGGCCACCATCCTTATCCTTCTGCGCCTAATAGCCCTGTAACCCGACTAAAAAAAAAAAAAAAAATATAATTCATCAGCATACAGCGCAAATCGTAGGATACCGTGAAGGGAAGTTTCCGGGTAAAATATCAAGCACCCGTGGGTCCCATCAAAGACGAAAAGAATACATTTAATTCATGACATCGTAACTCCATGGCTGACATCTAGTCGATGGTTGTCTCACGGCTTAGACGGTCGACTGATCCAGGCGAATCCACTCCCGTGGGACGTCCATACTGCGGTTCACCCGACCTCCAGGGGTCAGAGGCACATCAACCCGTCCGAGACCCCGTGGGTCATCGGCAGTTTCCTCATAACACGACAGCCGCGAGAAATAATCCTCCAGCACTGTCTCCCGGTCGTTATTACCGACGATAGAAGTGTATTCAGGGGGTGGTGTTATGAGGGGCGGCGGTGGCGGAACATCCTCGAACGCGGGTGGAGCAAATGACGGAGCGCGGAGAAGATGCATAGGACGCGGTGGAGGATCATCTGCACGGTCGTTTGGCTCGTGTGCCAAATGCGCCTGAGGAGGTCGTGCCAAGCCACCAGAGCCATTCGTGAAACTTCGGTAAACTGCTCTACCAGTCGGCGGCTCCTCTACTTCGAAGGACGGAGAGTGGCCGTTCGAGCTGGCTTTGTTAAGCGCGGCGGCTCCTGGACACCCACATTCGTATTCCTGGGCAGGCGGCGCAGGATCCGAATTTGGGGAGGTATACGCTGGGAGATAAATGTTGGCCTGTGTGGCCTTGCACGAAAGTAGGTGGAATGGAGAATCGATAGAAATCTCGAAATGCCTTCGCTTACTTGGATCTCTTTCATCCACCTTCGAGAGACGAAGGACAATCTGGAAGAATCGCGTTAGCCAACTTGTTTTTAGAACCTAACAGGTGGAAGCTCATCATACCTTGATCCAATGATTGATCTGTATATTTTCGTACGTTGTGTCAAAATGTAATCTGTGAGCCTCATCCCGATTTTTCATTTCATGGCAACTCGGGAGTTGAACATTAAACTCCATTTCGGTCGGACCGACGCCGGAATCGCTGGCTAAATTTCCCAAAAGATTTGTCCGGTTCCGGTCTACAATTTCATCACCTCTCGCAGCAGCTGTGCGATGATCCCAGTCAATGCCACCACCTGCTGTGACGCGCATTGAGCTGCCGGGGTATGTACTCGTGCTCGCTGAATCGGCTCGCTTCTCGAACAGTAGCACCTTCTTGGCCGGCTGAAAGCGGTGGACGCTCTTGTCTGCCGTCCAATGCTGTATGTTTTCCGTTACATAGACTTTAATCCGGTGGCATTCGACTTTGGCTAGCGGTGTTAATTTGAATGCAATGGGGACCTGACTGCCTAATGGGAAAGATTTCCCTGAGATAACGATGTCGTAGTGTAATTGGTCTTCCCAGTTGCGAGAAATAGCGATCGGCTCGACCTGTTCCAAGGAGCCCTCCGCCGGCGTGCGAATGACCGGCACTTCAAGGTTACCTAGGAGATTGGGCCGGAACGCGCCCGATCGTTCCACGATTGCTTCTAAATCATACCGAACATATCCCAGATCTGTCTTGATCGTCTCTGGAAGGGAGCCATCAATCGGGAACTCGAAACTATACAGGTAATCACCGACAGGGAACATGCGGTAGTTGCGCTGTGGATGAGCGACTGCGCTAGGGGGCGGATCGTTCTTCCCGAAGCTGCGAGAGTGATTGGATTGAAGAGAAAGGCGCTTAAGCTCCTTACTCGTAGGCTGGCCATTACTGAGAGAGGTTGAGGATCCAGTTTTCGAGAAAATTTCGCGAGTAACAGCCACTGGGCTGCCATCTTTTCCAGCAAGGGAGGTCATTGGTTTAGCATGCTGATAGAAGTTTGCTCCGTAGTCGTTCGGCATCAGAATACTATCACCGTGGTTGAAATACATCATACCGTGGGTGACCAGGTCCTTCTTATCATGGTAATGCACCTTTTTAGGTGGTATTCCTGTAGCGAGGCAAAGTCCAGTCAGCGTGCGCACTTGGAAAATAATATCAACAGCGGTTGTTGGAACACACCCTCGGGCCAATCGGTTTGTGCATGTCCGCGGAAGCAGATCGATATCTTCTTAATCTTGACGCTTTTGGTGACCTTGAGATGCAACTGGCCACGTAGAATGGCGGACTTCTTTGTACTTGGGTCATTCTGATCGTATCCCTGCAGGTATAGCACAGGTTCTGTGAGGGCAATGCCCACTGTGATACCACTCCCGGTTGCAACAATTTTCTCGTGACGTAGCGTCGGAAACGGTCCCATCGACTCCGATGACGGCGCACTCGTTACCGACCCCGCAGAGGACTGATTTACCGATCCGGTAGAAGAGGAGTGGGAGCGCATTCTGCCCGTTCCTAGACCGGCTCCTAAACTAGCAGAAGCAAGCATTCGTGCATCTTCGGGAGACAATACGATCTCGGAGACCGGACGAGGACGCTGTGTACGGGACATTGAGCGGATCGATGGTGGTGACTGAGCGCGGACGGAACCCCCCAGGCGGAGGAAGCGCTTTGCGTTCTCGCGTGGACCCGCCAACTTCCTAAAAATTGAAGCGCGGCGATTGGTCTGTTTGGGGAAATTGGCGCCAACGACGGTCGATGGGTCGACTGACCGACGATGTTCCGCGCTAGAACTTGTATGTAAAGATTCCGGGGGACTGTAATGTAGTTGGGCGACCGGACTGGTTGTGACCGATGCCGAAAGGTCCTGCTGCAGAGGAGTAATATGAGCGGTTGTCATCTTGAAAGACACCAATTCAGAAGCATCATTGATGGGAAGTTTTTATTTTTCAAAGGAAGAATCAATTTCGGATCATCGACACCTCAGTCCCTTTTTAAAGTGAAAACGGAAAAGAAAGGGAGCGATGGGGCTAAACTGAAACGAGCCTCACTATCTAAGGCGGTTTCAAAGGAAAGGAAGCGAAGCAGGGCCAAAGAAAGAGAAACACTGGATTGAAAGGTGAAAAGGATATAAAAAGAACGAAGAGAGAAAGAGCCAGGCAGGTCCAAGTAAGTAACTGAATGACTTACCCTGTACTCCGTCCTCGGCGGCTCGCAACAAGAACAAGGGTTGAAAACGAAAAAAAGCAAAAACCCAAAAGTAAATATGAGAGGTACCAAATATTTTCAGGTCACAGAGTTTAAAAAAGCTCAGTCGTGACGCGCATTCAATGCGATCAGCTAGGGCCCTTTCGATTTCTTATTTTTTTTTTTTTTGGTCACAGTCCTTTTTCTTTTATTGCAGTCTTTTCCGTTTTGGTTGATGATCGACCGGCTGAACGCACGCAAGGGAGTAGACACACGGGGCGGTACGAGGAAGAAAAATGCGGAGAGTTTGGGTGTTGTGAGTGAGAAAAGAGGAGAAAGTACCCACGGAGTATCGTTGACAAGAAGAATAAATTGAGACTTTGGAGATGAATGACAAGGGTGATCAATTCGTAGCAAATGATCAACCAAGAAACAAGTCCAGAAGGGCCGATAAATTGCGGGGAGCAAATGGTTCAGTCGTTGTCCTTGTCCGCCGATACTAGTAATCAATCCCCCAAAGCCAATGCGAAGATCATAAAAGATACTCCCAAACCCGATGGCGACCAGACCGACTGATGACGGCACCGATCCGGCAACAAGAATGAGGCGGTGCGCTTTGATTCCTTGGGCACAAGACACTGTCGAGCAATAGGAAACTCACGCAGGGTCAAAAGGGAAGAGAAAAGCAAATTACAGAGAAAAAGGTGCAGGGAACGAATGATTTGAATAAGATTTCAGACGATGACGCGGAGTGGTTCGTTGTAGCCGGCGATCCGTGGATAGTGATTTAAACTGCTTGCTCTCGACTTAGTTCGTTGACGACGGAGTCCCTTGAAGTTCGTTGCCCTCTGTCTCGACTCTCGACTAGTATCTCGTCTCATTGGACTTTTACTGGTACGCTAAATGGAAATCCTACGGGTTAGTCAATTTAGGTTGTATCTTTTTTTTTTTTTTTTTTTTTTTTTTTTTTTTTTTTTTTTTTTTTTTTTTTTTTTTTTTTTTTTTTTTTTTTTTTTTTTTTTTTTTTTTTTTT